TCAAGTTGCATGAACTCGCTGAGATATCTTCCCCGTCACACACCGCTGTGGCCTCTCGACCAGTGGTTTGGTTATCAGTGGTAGCTCTGTTATGTTGTAGCTGCCAGTGTTGTATTTGTCAGTGTTGTAGCTGCTAGTGATGTATTTGTCAGTGTTGTAGCTGCCAGTGTTGTATTTGTCAGTGTTGTAGCTGCCAGTGTTGTATTTGTCAGTGTTGTAGCTGCCAGTGTTGTATTTGTCAGTGTTGTAGCTGCCAGTGTTGTATTTGTCAGTGTTGTAGCTGCTAGTGATGTAGCTGCCAGTGTTGTAGCTGTCAGTGTTGTGGCTGCCAGTGTTGTATGTGTCAGTATTGTATTTGTCAATGTTGTATTTGACAGTGTTGTAGCTGCCAGTGTTGTATTTGTCAGTGTTGTGGCTGCCAGTGTTGTATTTGTCAGTGTTGTAGCTGCTAGTGTTGTATTTGTCAGTGTTGTAGCTGTCAGTGTTGTATTTGTCAGTGTTGTGGCTGTCAGTGTTGTATTTGTCAGTGTTGTAGCTGCCAGTGTTGTATTTGTCAGTGTTGTGGCTGTCAGTGTTGTATTTGTCAGTGTTGTGGCTGCCAGTGTTGTATATGTCAGTGTTGTAGCTGCCAGTGTTGTATTTGTCAGTGTTGTGGCTGTCAGTGTTGTATTTGTCAGTGTTGTGACTGCCAGTGTTGTATATGTCAGTGTTGTAGCTGCCAGTGTTGTATATGTCAGTGTTGTAGCTGCCAGTGTTGTATTTATCAGTATTGTAGCTGCCAGTGTTGTATTTGTCAGTATTGTAGCTGCCAGTGTTGTATATGTCAGTATTGTAGCTGCCAGTGTTGCACTTATCTATATCTACACCTCAGTCAGATACTGCCTGTACCCGGTGCGTCCTGTATCGTAGTATTATTCTAATCAGATGCCTTCCGGGTTCTAATGAAATGCTTTGTTGTATCTAAGAAATTAATCATTTGCACTAGACAATTGCTACGGGATTTTACCCCAGTGGGGGTATTTTACCCCCACTGGGGATTTTACCCCAGTGGGGGTATTTTACCCCCACTGGGGATTTTACCCCAGTGGGGATATTTTACCCCCACTGGGGAGTTTACCCCAGTGGGGGTAAAATACTAAGCACATGAAGCTAAATAATCATAAAACTGAAACAACGTAAGATTTTTCTGACGAGTAATTTTTAAGGAATAGACGAGTCAGCCCTTTTGTTCAGAGCTCGTTTTCTAATTGCTAAAGTCTTTGTATAATCATTTTTATCGGGGACAGGAAGCCTGTGTATATACAGGAAGCCTGTATATTAGATCTAAATACTGGCCTAACCCAGGATGCAACCCCGCGGCAGTTGGCTAACTCCCGGGTACCTGTTTGAACAGAGGCATGAGGTGAAAAGAAACGTGCCCAACCGTTTCTGTCCCGCCCGGGGATTGAACCTGGTATCCCGATTGTGAATCGAGAACGAAGGTGCTGTACTGCAGGTCATACTAGGTTAGGTTACAATTGGGTTGGGTTGGATTAGGCTAAAGTCATCAGACCAGCTCACAACACGTGTAACACCTGCAGACCAGCTCACAACACGTGTAACACCTGCAGACCAGCTCACAACACGTGTAACACCGGCAGACCAGCTCATAACACGTGTAACACCTGCAGACCAGCTCACAACACGTGTAACACCTGCAGACCAGCTCACAACACGTGTAACACCTGCAGACCAGCTCACAACACGTGTAACACCTGCAGACCAGCTCACAACACGTGTAACACCTGCAGACCAGCTCACAACATGTGCAACACCGGCAGACCAGCTCACAACACGTGTAACACCTGCAGACCAGCTCACAACACGTGCAACACCTGCAGACCAGCTCACAACACCTGCAGACCAGCTCACAACACGTGCAACACCTACAGACCAGCTCACAACACGTGCAACACCTGCAGACCAGCTCACAACACGTGCAACGCCTGCAGACCAGCTCACAACACGTGTAACACCTGCAGACCGGCTCACAACACGTGCAACACCTGCAGACCAGCTCACAACACCTGCAGACCAGCTCACAACACGTGCAACACCTGCAGACCAGCTCACAACACGTGCAACACCTGCAGACCAGCTCACAACACCTGCAGACCAGCTCACAACACGTGCAACACCTGCAGACCAGCTCACAACACGTGCAACACCTGCAGACCAGCTCACAACACCTGCAGACCAGCTCACAACACGTGCAACACCTGCAGACCAGCTCACAACACGTGCAACACCTGCAGACCAGCTCACAACACGTGCAACACGTGCAGACCAGCTCACAACACGTGTAACACCCTGCAGACCAGCTCACAACACGTGCAGACCAGCTCACAACACGTGCAACACCTGCAGACCAGCTCACAACACGTGCAACACCTGCAGACCAGCTCACAACACGTGCAGACCAGCTCACAACACGTGCAACACCTGCAGACCAGCTCACAACACGTGTAACACCTGCAGACCAGCTCACAAACACGTGTAACACCTGCAGACCAGCTCACAACACGTGCAACACCTGCAGACCAGCTCACAACACGTGTAACACCTGCAGACCAGCTCACAACACGTGTAACACCTGCAGACCAGCTCACAACACGTGTAACACCTGCATACCAGCTCACAACACGTGTAACACCTGCAGACCAGCTCACAACACGTGCAACACCTGCAGACCAGCTCACAACACGTGCAACACCTGCAGACCAGCTCACAACACGTGCAACACCTGCAGACCAGCTCACAACACGTGTAACACCTGCAGACCAGCTCACAACACGTGCAGACCAGCTCACAACACGTGCAACACCTGCAGACCAGCTCACAACACGTGCAACACCTGCAGACCAGCTCACAACACGTGCAGACCAGCTCACAACACGTGCAACACCTGCAGACCAGCTCACAACACGTGTAACACCTGCAGACCAGCTCACAACACGTGTAACACCTGCAGACCAGCTCACAACACGTGCAACACCTGCAGACCAGCTCACAACACGTGTAACACCTGCAGACCAGCTCACAACACGTGTAACACCTGCAGACCAGCTCACAACACGTGTAACACCTGCATACCAGCTCACAACACGTGTAACACCTGCAGACCAGCTCACAACACGTGCAACACCTGCAGACCAGCTCACAACACGTGTAACACCTGCAGACCAGCTCACAAACACGTGCAGACCAGCTCACAACACGTGTAACACCTGCAGACCAGCTCACAACACGTGTAACACCTGCAGACCAGCTCACAACACGTGTAACACCTGCAGACCAGCTCACAACACCTGCAGACCAGCTCACAACACGTGTAACACCTGCAGACCAGCTCACAACACGTGTAACACCTGCAGACCAGCTCACAACACCTGCAGACCAGCTCACAACACGTGCAACACCTGCAGACCAGCTCACAACACGTGCAACACCTGCAGACCAGCTCACAACACGTGCAACACCTGCAGACCAGCTCACAACACGTGTAACACCTGCAGACCAGCTCACAACACGTGCAACACCTGCAGACCAGCTCACAACACGTGCAGACCAGCTCACAACACCTGCAGACCAGCTCACAACACGTGCAACACCTGCAGACCAGCTCACAACACGTGCAGACCAGCTCACAACACGTGCAGACCAGCTCACAACACGTGCAGACCAGCTCACAACACGTGCAGACCAGCTCACAACACCTGCAGACCAGCTCACAACACCTGCAGACCAGCTCACAACACGTGCAACACCTGCAGACCAGCTCACAACACCTGCAGACCAGCTCACAACACCTGCAGACCAGCTCACAACACGTGCAACACCTGCAGACCAGCTCACAACACCTGCAGACCAGCTCACAACACCTGCAGACCAGCTCACAACACGTGCAACACCTGCAGACCAGCTCACAACACCTGCAGACCAGCTCACAACACGTACAACACGTGCAGACCAGCTCACAACACGTACAACACGTGCAGACCAGCTCACAACACGTGCAACACCTGCAGACCAGCTCACAACACGTGCAGACCAGCTCACAACACGTGTAACACCTGCAGACCAGCTCACAACACGTGCAGACCAGCTCACAACACGTGTAACACCTGCAGACTAGCTCACAACACGTGCAGACCAGCTCACAACACGTGTAACACCTGCAGACCAGCTCACAACACCTGCAGACCAGCTCACAACACGTGCAACACCTGCAGACCAGCTCACAACACCTGCAGACCAGCTCACAACACGTGCAACACCTGCAGACCAGCTCACAACACCTGCAGACCAGCTCACAACACGTACAAACACGTGCAGACCAGCTCACAACACGTACAACAACGTGCAGACCAGCTCACAACACGTGCAACACCTGCAGACCAGCTCACAACACGTACAGACCAGCTCACAACACGTGTAACACCTGCAGACCAGCTCACAACACGTGCAGACCAGCTCACAAACACGTGTAACACCTGCAGACCAGCTCACAACACGTGCAGACCAGCTCACAACACGTGTAACACCTGCAGACACCCAGCTCACAACACCTGCAGACCAGCTCACAACACGTGCAACACCTGCAGACCAGCTCACAACACCTGCAGACCAGCTCACAACACGTGTAACACCTGCAGACCAGCTCACAACACCTGCAGACCAGCTCACAACACGTGCAGACCAGCTCACAACACGTTGTAACACCTGCAGACCAGCTCACAACACCTGCAGACCAGCTCACAACACGTGTAACACCTGCAGACCAGCTCACAACACCTGCAGACCAGCTCACAACACGTGCAGACCAGCTCACAACACGTACAACACCTGCAGACCAGCTCACAACACGTACAACACCTGCAGACCAGCTCACAACACGTGCAGACCAGCTCACAACACGTGCAACACGTGCAGACCAGCGGGAACTAGACAAGTCTGGATAACGTGAGACTACGTGAGAGTGCTGCCGGAAATCATATATATTGCAGAAGCAACGCAACCTTGACAACACAAAGAAAATGGGACATGACACGCGACCGTTTTCTAGTCACGGACTAGTCAATCTTTATCTTCATTATCGGATAACATGTCATATCTACTTCCCAGTCTGGATAACTAAGTCATATATACTTCGACATCGGATAATTAGTCGTATCCACCCCTTCAAGTTCGGATGAACATGCCTAATCCTCATTGTAATTATTATTTTATAGCCTAATCCAAATCCAAATCCTAATCCTAATCCAAAATTCAGTTCTATTATATATATAAATATATTATAGAACTGGATTTTCTGACTCTCGTTACCATAATCCACATTTTCTACATGATTTTCATCGTCTTAACCAGAAAGTTTAATCTGCATTGATTTAATTTCACAAGAGTTACAGTTTCTCAGCTTAATTCTCTGATTCGATCAACTGTCTATAGTAACCGCGAAGTTGAGAGGGTCGTCAGATTAACCTATTTTGTGAGGCAGTCA